AGTTTGGTTTCGAGACATTCGTATCCCATATTTTCGCCCGCAGAAAACTCGCCTCTTTACTAGTTAGTTCTTAGTTTCAATAAGATTTAATATCCAACAACTATTTCAAGTCATTCATTTAAAGCAAATCTGTGCGAAACCGAACAGTAGGTAAATATAGTTATTAAGATAACTAGGTGTTTTATAGCTACTTTAAAGGACGATGCCCATTTCCTTTAAAATATAAAACACCGTGTTATCTTCAAGATTTTTTATAACACTGAAGCATAGTTTATCCGAATTCGTCTTGTATTAATATTTGATCATGAAAGAAACATGTTTCTCAAGACTGGTCTAGGTAGTCATTCCAACTACTGACATTGGATAGAACGATTAAAAAGCAAGAAATCCGCATTTTATACTTAAAATTTCCAATGTAATTGTATACCCATAAATGTAACAAACGTGTGTTTTGACTGAGGCGGTGTACGTGCCCCACGAACTTATAAATTAAGATGGACTGCTGATCAAACAGTTGCATAGAGTTAGAAATGGCCCTAGCATGGGCGCCGCCATCATGTGCACATTCTAGTTATTTTCTAGGGGAATTTTCCTAGTGCTCAAGTTTTGAGACTATTACAGCCTTGGAAAATGACATGTGTCACAGTAATTTATTTAGAAAACGTGCGGTTAATGTTGGGTTAATGCTTGTTTATTAGTTGATTTGAATTTCGCGCCATGTGGGTGCACATCATAGCGGCTCCCATGTAGGTGTCATTTGTTAATTCAGCATTAGCAGTCCGTCTTAATTTATAAGTTCGTGACGTGCCCCTATCGCTCATAGCATCGTATTGCTATTTCCCGAATTTATTGACCAACTTATACTGCATTTCTGCAAAATTCGTGACCGACTTTTTGTTTTTCATCTTTGATTCAATGCAATCATATTATAGCCGAAATACCTAGTGGCGTACAATTCTTATTACCTAAAAATAATTCTGATGGGTATTCCTATTTTAAATATTATTCGCATTTATCAACCAATATTGTGATCCTGATCATTTTTTAAGTGTGATCGTTTTCCAAAATACCTATATCTTCCATAAATACTTTTACGGGGTCGCTGATAAGTCTGGAAACGGTTGCTAATCGGGGAAAGTATAAAAGATATAAAAACGCTTTATACAAAAGATTTGAGGTTCTTTAATGTCTACTAGCCAGTAGTAATTATAATTATACAGGGTTGGTCATAAAGGCTTTGCGCACCAATACTGCATTTTTTTAAATAGAACACGGTATTATTCGATATTTCAATTCTTCTCTCAATTTTGAGCATAATTTGTAAGAAGCATTATTATATATTATATTACCCAAATGCAATCGTTTCCGAGTTATCGAGTTTTGAAAATAAAATGTATTGCTTTCAAATGTATTGAATAAAGAACAATAAAATTACATCACAAATTTCTTTTGAAAATATTCTGAGGTTCTGAAAAGAACGGTTTGTGAAGTTTGCTATGATTGTTTTGAATTATTAATTATTGTTTTTTGTTCAATGATTAATGAATTTTGTAATAATAGCGCTTATTTTCAAAACTCGATAACCCGGAAACGATTGAATTTCGGTACATTATCCGTATTACAAATTTTACTTAGAATTGAGAGAAAAATTGAAATATTGAATAATAAACAGTGTTCCATTAAAAAAAATTCAATTTTGGTGTGTCCCTGTATAATTAAAATTATTACTGCCTAGTAGACATTTAAGAAAAAAGCTTTTGTATAAAACTTATTTCGATATATTGTATATTTTCCCCAATAATCGACCGTTTCCAGACTTATCAGGATGGGCCAATCGTAGTTAAATACATATACCTACTGTTAATTACTTATCATATCATTCACGCTGGCCAAACAAAAACATAATAATTTCGTTGTTTGCTGTTAATGGGGTAGTACTGTTTTTGACAGGTCGTTTAGCATTATAGGATCTAAGTGTGCATGTTTTAATCCCAAACTGTTTAAAGTTTTCGGTATAGTCCAGCATAAATAGCAGCAAGACCTATAAACTGGCCCCAACGTTCTCAATCAAATAAAAGAATATTTGTTTAATGAAAGGCCCACAAAAACTGAGGATAGCCGCACAAATCTTCACAAAACAAATACATATGTTTTAAGGCATTCCGAGAATAAGGGGTGTTGCGTTAAGTTACCTCCTACAGAAGTTTACGTTGCTTCAAAACAAATGCGCTCAAAACCGTGGTATTGGGCGCACATATCTGAACAAAACATGTACATGATATTAGTGTCGTCTCGGTATTTGGAAGTTAGTGTTTAGCGTTAAGTTGGTACTCCTTTTGAATTACTCCGAAAGGAAAAGTGCACAAAACCTGAGTATTGGTGCACAAATCGGCACACAACGAGTACAGAACAATGGTATTAGTGTCGTGTGGATACGAGAGTGATGGCGTGCCAGTATTAATAACGGAAAATTTTGATTTTCTCGTAAACGAGAAGCGCACAAAATTTGGGGAATTGCGTACAAATGAGCACAAAATTAATACAATATTTTGGCGATGTAATAAATTCGGGTGCCGATTTAAGGGTGCTAACTTAACCTAGCTCAGTTTATGCATGTGCATAACACGATTGTAACGTAAACACCTGGAAAGATTAAGAAAAAATGGTTTCAAACTATCTGAAATTTATGAAAAACTGGATTATCTAAAAAATAGATGTTCATGTATTAATATCAAACTGAACGCACTGATACTATTACCTAAATACCTGGACATTTCAATTGCACTTTGAAGTGGTGGTAGTCACATACAATATCTAATTACAAAACTCAAGGGCTTTTATTAGATTTTTAAACAACTTGGACAGAAACTGCCTCTGCATATCTTAAAACAAATTTACTTTACGCTATATACAATATTATCAAGAGGAGAGATCTAAGGTACCTATATGATAAAAGATACATACAATGTATGTGATACTCCTGGTAATGGTAAATTCAAAATGTACTTTATAGAATATCCATACTGGGCATAAAATACCGAGTGACTCTTTAATAGTGATGACCGTTAGAATTTCCCGCAAATCAAACAAATTTTGAAATTGGTACTAATTGATGATCATTTATTTAACTGCACTAATCACTAATCACACAATCACGATTCTTACATATTTTAGTGCATCGACTCTAAAAATTGTTCAAAATGGAAAAAGTAATAAGCTGCAAATGGCACACAACAATTTTACGGCGACACTGGTTTCTTAAGTGACAGTCATGACAGGAAAAAATTCTAACAAAATTCAAACTATTAATTTATATAATAATGCAAAAAATACTACAACCTTACGCGCGAAATTCAAGCGATCATCACTTATAATAAATCACCCGGTATTTGTGTTCATAATATTGTACATAGCATATACATAAAATGCACAGGATATTCCATGTACATTTTGGATTTAAAACGTGGGGAATTAGGTAGAACAGAACAAGGACATCTAGCGTGCCGGACGGTTTCAAAATAACACCACTATTGTTTATAACATGTATTAACATGAAATTCCCAATGCGCAGATGATGTATAACTACCCTACTGTATTTTTGGGGTAGATGAAGGACTTTTCACTTATTTTATTTTGATACCTAAAGAGTTCTATAGTTACTGAATACAATCGACACGTCTAGAAAATAATAGAAAAGACAAATAATAGAGAAACAAACTCTTAATTAAGTAATTCAGTTATTTGCCGTTGAAACACGTTCTCTTCATATGTTTGTGGTTTATTCCCGTTTGCGTTTCACTTCCGGCATAAGCGTAAACGCTGCAACATCAGTGTTTACTCTCTGTGGGTTTTGCGGGTAGTGCTTCCTGAATAACATCAAAATCGTCTTACTAGGTTTAGATATAATCTTTTAAATTGATGTCTATTCTATAACGAGCCTTTTTCCATCGGATCTATTAGGTTTCTTCCTCAAAGGGATTAGTAACATTATTCCCTTCAAAGTATGCAAAGTTGGATTATAATTCCCTGTAGTTTGACGATAATGAAAAATCGTAGCTTATGATTATACATATAACTTAGATTATAGTGAACTTTACAATTTTTGAAAATACAAAGAGTGTTACCGCTATGAGATTTTTAATTTACGACCTTTTTGTTTCTATATCAAGCGACGGCGTTAAAATTGCATGTCAAGTTTTAATCTATCTCTGTAATTATATTATCCGCAGGGCAAATTTCGTTTACGTAGTTAACATAATTTAGTTAACTTTACGCGGTTTTGCAGAATCAAAATGCTTAATGCAGTGTCAATGTTGCCTTTCAAATTTGTTATATTATATTTTGTCATTTAGCGACGGTTGTGTACAAAAAAAAGAATTTTTCCAAAATTAAAACCCCCACGAGCATGCAACAGAATTCTGTTTTCCGCATTGTATCCCAATTCTTTGTCTTGCCGTTCCTAATAAACAAATGCGGCACGGCCAGTTGGGTGCATGGCACAAAATGTACTTTTATATATTCTTTGCATAGGTACTCCTAGACATAGTGTATCATAAATTGTAGGAAATCTAAGTAAATCTAGGATTTAATTTCTAAAGTGCTTTCGCGAAAGTAGATTAAAGTTACATATGATACACCCGTCGTGCAACTTTGCCATTTTAATTTATTTGATAACATGTACAGCAAGACACTCCGAGACGCAGAACAACGCACGATTTATATTGACATTAGCACATCGGCAGCCCTTAAAATAAATTTTAATTGCAACACGTGGGTCCGATATTGTATTCCGTGCGGTTATAATCGAACAACCCGATGGGTGTAATTGGATTCGAAAACTTTCTCTTTCAGCGGAAAACTGTCACGACTGTGATTCACGTATTGGCACTTTATTAACCCTCATCACATTTATATGACGGTGCCCTGAAAAAAATAAAGCGTACTATCCTGATAAAATGTCATAGTGCGAGATCAAACGAAACATTTAGTAAATGACTTACGGGAGGAGCAGTCAGTAAGAGTATGGCAGCACTCAAATGCTTCAAGTTTAAGGTGTTATCTTCTTCTTCTGCATCTTCGGCTGTGGATATTTGTACAGAGCACTGTCGGACAGTTAACGCTCTTTTGAGGGCACCATTTGTAGGGAGCACGTGTGATGACGAACGTCTAAATGGACATGAAGCCATATTAGCAGTCTCGACGTTCTTTAATTCAGGTTAATATAGCATACATTGCATTGTTACAAGTATGACCCGAAAAATTCAATTTCTATCAAGTTCAGAAGTATCAGTTACGAAAGTACGCAACTTCCTCGTGGGAATACAACGACGACCTGGACAATACACGACGTCAGCACAACTGGCTAGACTCGTGCCGCTTTTCCAGAGGTTTAAAGAGCGTACCGACGCCAGCGCACTGAAATGTTCCATGTATTTATTTGTACACCTCCAAAGATTATCTTTATACGATATAATAAAATATAATAAAAAAAGGTAATTGAATCCAAACTTTTCCCGTCAACTTGCTGATTTCGAAGTTTTTGATGGAACTGTATATTTTTCTCCAGAGACTTTTAATCAAAAACTTCCACTCTATCTCATACCATTAAAATATTTGTGGTTTGTTTTTCTGTACCATTTCCCTAGGGTGTCAACTTATCTTCTTTCCCCGCGTAATACGTTAGAGAGTTTCTTATCAATTACATTTATGAATTTTGAAATAATGAGGAAAAATTGTGTCGGGCGACGGAAAAAATTATATTCGCAATGCGCTGGAAATTTATCGTTTTTTTTTCCGGTGAAATTCGTTGCAGTGTTCCGGAAAGAACTTAGACCTAGAATGCGGCATATTTACTCAAGTATCGGCATAGTTTAATGTCATATTCCGATTGGTACAGTCGAGTTCAATTAATAATGAGAAATGCCTTGGCGTATTTGCACTTAACTTCCACTTCCAATTTCTTCCAAACTGATTGAAATTACTATTTCAAAGGGTATTAAAATAGCACAGATTTCTGTAATAATAGTAAAAATGTAAATTAATTATTACCTTTTTATTTACCGTTCGACGTTAATAAAAAGTTCTTAACGTTCATTTTGATTTTTATCGAATTATTATGATTTTAAATTGGTGTTTTAAACCGGATTTTATATTGCCACGTACAATATGAAGGTGTAGCACTTTCGGAACGGATACAATGCAAAATTATTAAAAGAGAGTAAAAGTACAACTAGGTCATGTTGGCTCAAGCTTCAGTTTACCCCTGGTTTGTGTGTTAATTGAAAAAGTCACTTAGACGACCTAAATTCATTCTACATTTATAACGGGCGATCAAAAATGAGTGGCGGTCGTGTTGTCTTTAGACGTTCAAGTTAAGTACGATTTCCCGTGTATACAAAAATTCCGAAGGCAACTCATTTTTGATCGCATACAAACGTAAAAATATATTCGGAAGGTGAAGGATTTACGAGGGTGACAAATAAGTGGAGAACGATGACTACTGCATGGCGAACGTTATTAAAACCCATTCAAGCGATTACTGCTGCCTCTGTTCCAATATAAGCGCTGATTAGAAATGGGCTTAGAGAAAGTCTCGAAGTTTACTGAACTTGTATGTATAAGTTATGGAAGTGAGGTGAAAAACCACATCGTATAATCGTAAAACGATGCTCCCCTTGAGAATTCGGAATTTACGGGAACCTTGTTGTCACTAATTAATGAAGACGCATTTGTTGATTAATTTGCGGGTTGAGGTTTTCATCACGCCGTCGTGGTACAGGTCAATTTATTACCTACCCTTTAGATTTTTTAATAATTTAAAAGGGTTAACGCACAGCAATCATTCATGAGTCATGACGAAAAAGGGAAATTTCACCTAAAGCATACATTGTTTATGTAAAAAAGATATGTTACAATTAATGAGTACCTATACCTACGTGAAAACAGTATTGACTCGTCGCGTTCGAAATATTTTTTTAATTTTTTTTTTTTAATAATACAATTGTACAATTAGATGACAAATAAAATCCAAAATTCAGCATAAGATCGGGTTTGTAAAGGAAAATTTTCTCTGTGACCGGAGGTTCTAAATTAATCCACATGTGGGCAGTAAAACAGCTTTACTTAAGTTCAACCAAAAAATTATTTAAACAAAACTTGCCATGGCTAATATGGAACTAGAACCCTAGAACAGTACGGTTGCAGTTTTGTGATGAAAGAACCAATTTCTCCGTTTGAAGCAAATGTCAAATATCTTCTGCAAAAAATCCATGAACGGAAAACGTTTCATAGATGGCAAAATCGACTCATAAATCAGCGATATCATTATTATACAGGGTGGCCATTGTGTATGGAATATAGTATATATCTTGATAAACAACGACTTTTTTATATAAAGCATTTTATTTCCCATAATAATATAAGGCAGCATTCTGAGAAAGAATATTTAAGAGATCATTGTGTAAATTTATAATCAATCCGAGTATTTCATAAATACCTTAGAATCCCTAAAATGCTCTCGATCAACCCCATTACGTTCCCTAAGAAAGGCGTCTAAGTTTAAAAATTGTTATTAATTTAGGAAATTATACGTGTACGTTTAAAATAAATCCGAATATTTTAAGAAATCCTGTCCCGTTACGTTCCCAAAGAAAGGAGAGTTTCCATTTTTAAAGAAGCTAAGAATAAATGAAAGAACTTTAATAGCATTTTTCAAAAGATGATACTGTAACGGTAGCTCTAAATTTGGATTTATTTTTTTAATTTTATAGAGATGAGTGTGGTTGAATCAGTCAGAGCGGTTTAGGTATCATAGATAGTCTACAGGGTGTCAAAATTAGAGGGTAACATATTCCAGTAAATAGCAAGATTACTGAAATTGACAATCGTCTTTTCTACGTCTTTTAACTTTATTTCTATATTTTTGCCTTTATTTTTATTTAACTTCTGCAGAGTATTGTTCTCACACTAAGTACCGGTGGCTATCTTAACTGGTTTTATCTGCTCAAACATGACCTCAACTCAGCAAAAGTTAGACCGTGGGTCTTTTTAAGAATCCGCCCAAGTAGAGGGCACTTCAGGGGATATCAAGATTCCTATTGGTCCTTAAAGAAAAGTCCCTCATTTAATTACTAGACGTCACGTTGAAAAAAGGCGAGAAATTTTGAGTGCTAACGACGCGCCTAATTGTTCTAAGTTTCTCTGCAGAATAAAGTGCTATCGAGGATTTTGTTTAATCGGAAATATTCCACAGCGTACCAGCGAAATTTAGCAGTAAAGAAAAGGGGACAGTACTTTGAATCGAGTATCTGAATGCGTAGAAATAGTGGGAGATCTACACATTAGTGTTGTTTGAATAAGTTGTGATTGTATGATGTTGAAATTCTCATCGCTTGTAATTTCGAAATAAAGACAATTGTCCTGATACTTTCATCAAAAGTGATCAAAGTGGAGTGAAGTGTTCATTTATTTATGGCGGCCAGTATACATTTTTTCAAACTGGCGCCTGGCAAAGTGTAAGACCCCACTAAATGATCTGGCTTATTGATTTTTTCCGTCTTTAAATATTAAATTAAAGGTGTAAACATTTGGACATTCCTCAAGAACATTTTTTTCAAAAAAAATTCCCATCTTTAAAAATATAAGGGTTGATTCAGCCCCGCTACTCCTCAGCCAGGTCTGCAATTCTGTGTTTGGGTATTATTGGAAAAGTATTGGACAAGTTTTGAGCATGCCTCAAATATGTACCTACCCAAAAGGAGGAGGAGGACATTTATACCAGATACTGTTATTTAACTTATGTAAACGTAGCTGAGGCGGGATTTTGAACGTGTAACGTAAACTGATTTAACGTACAAATAATGTAACAGTATATTTCATTACCGGCCTAGAAATGTAGTCATGCAAACACGGGAAACGCCTTTCTGGACGTGTAATGATTAATGAACTATATTTTTCATTATACCTCTCCTAAAATAACAATTGAAGTCCAAAAATCCAATTTGACAACAAAATCTGTGGCTTCTCCTATGACAACACAGTTACATTATTGGCAATAAAACGAAACAAACTTTAAAGATTTTATTAGATGAACGGCAAACGAACAAATTAACTAACAAAATCGAATTTAAATGAAGAAAAAAGTTAACCAAATAGGCTTTTCCATAGAAATGAACGTTTAAGTTTTGAATGAACGAGTGATAGAAGGCCTTCGGTAATGAATGTCTTATACTGTTGAGCCTATCAATTTTAATTTAAAAGAATGTTTTCCTAACTTTCCTCTGGAAAATGTACCATTAAGTTATGTATTGGTAACACTGCATCCCCTGTCAAAATTTGAAATTAATGACCGGCAGACTTAATAACACATTGATGTAAAATCGCAAATCAATGTTCAATGAAAACGTTCTATCAACAATGCCAGAAGTTCAATTATTGGCGGAAGAAGCAGTAGATAATTTGTTACTGACAAAATCGACAGGAGAATATAGACAGGAATATAGGTTTAAGGTTTGGCGTAGAGAATAAAATGTAAAAGTTATCACTACATTTTATAGATGATTGTAATACCTAATTAATCAAACAATATGCAAGTTTAGGACCTACTCATAAAAATCACAAACGCTTTTTATGTTTTGTAGCCTATGCACGTTTTACTACACGCCTAATAGGCATAAACAAAATAGGTGAGTTACCACGAATGATTAAGAAACATTTTAATTTAGAGCGTTACGATCAATATATCTGGAAAACGTTGGTGCAGATTTAATTATAATCAAGCGTGGGACTTTCCGTTAGGTGATCTGAGGAATCAAACGGCATTGAGTGCTACATATATAAAAGGCCGTAAAACAGCTTTATTTGGAAGTTGGTATCAACTCCGTTCACAAATTCTTTTCATAAATGTGGTTCATGAACACTTGTCTTGGAAATGCTCAAAAAGGTTTTATAATTGACAGTAGAAATATTGACAGGTAAAATAATTTAGGTTATATAACAAATTCATTTCAAATTTTGGAATTTCTATATTACATTAATAACCTTTATCTTATAGATGTTAAATTGACATTTTATAGGTTTGAATGAGTATAGGTTAAGTCGCTCTTTAGCCGTGAGGGTAGATAAAGTGATCACTTTAAGGATAGATAAAATGAAACAGATCTTGTGCCTTATAATGACATCTGACATTTTGAGAAAATACGGGTACGTTCTTGTACCGCGATGAACAGTTCTAATTTGTATCGCCGCTCACACGAAACAGATAACCGACAATTACACCAGAATTTTTTTTTTAATTTGCTTGCGGGTTGTACGGTATTTACCACGATCAAAACAAGCCTATTGAAAT